ATATTTATATGTGTGCTTTATGTTGCTTAAAGTGTAAGTGTCTTGGACGTTATATTGACTATGTCTCATGTTGTCATCTTCACCTAGATTCCTTGTATCTAAATGGGATTTTTCCTGTTCAAATTTAAAACACAAGATAAAATCATGGCAAAGCAAAAGTTTTTGTTATCTTGTAATTTCAGGCTTTCCAAACTAGGACCTTTTTTGAACCAAATGATTTTCGTCCCACCACAAAACCTTACCAGGCAGTTTTTCCCAACTAAATAACCCAGCAGAGAGCAGAAATAACAAGAACCTAAAACATGTTTTAAGAACAGGGCAAGAGAATGTTGTCTCTATTGGGCTCGGAGGTCTCTATTTTTATGATCTTTTTAGGATTGCTGCTCTGCCGGTTTTACTTTCACCCCATCTGTCAACCATTGGTTTGTGGTCTACCGTTTGGATGCCTTACACACTCATGATTTAGGTTTTGGAGGCAGAAGTGATGTGTAAAGGAACTGATCTAAACTGAAAACCAAAGAAGAGCATTTCTTGGATTTCAGCCAACACATTCATCTGTCATTAAATTTAACACTAAACAAATTAAACATAATTTAAAATTCACCCATTGTGCAACCGAAAATAAAACAATAGCTTATGAGACCAGATTTAGTCTTTTGTTAAGGGTCAGTCCAGTTCTGCATTTATACAAATTAGGCATTTAATTACAAAGGTGTCTGGAGCACCCGTAAAAAGCCTCTATTCAAGAAAGATTTGGGTGACAACAAAATAATTTCTCAGCATCGTGGGCAATCTTGTCTTTTTAAATGTAAAGACCACTCATGTGCCAATATGCCATATTTTAAAGACTTAAAGCCAAACTTAGAATCAAATTGAAAGAAGAACAATGGTTCCTCAAATTTTTAAAAAAAGAATCATTACTGAGTTTATGAATTTATTTACAGGAAAGAGTAAAATACCACATTGTTATATATCAGAATTTGGAAAATGTAAAAAAAATGTGGTAGATAAAAATGACAACAACATGCAGAGAATCCTTGGTTTATATGCAACATGATGGCTCCATTTCAGGACTTCTCAGGAGCTCCTGCTTTCTCTTCAACCATGCTTTCTTGGATTAAAGCAGAAATGAGCCGAAGCGTCTGCACTTGATCTGTCAGCAGGTTAATGAAAGCACAGACTCTGAAGAACTGCCCGTTTTTCACTCCGTTGACAACCGACAACAAACCTGCTAGAAGCTCTGCAAATGATGCGTAATTAACCCGGGGATAAAAACAGATTTGGTAATACTGTGCGTCATCGTGGTCAAAGGATGAGCACTTTTTTCATGGCTTCAACAGAGAGATTCCCTCCTGTATCCAGCTGTGCTGACATGTGGAAGAGAGCACACCTCTTTGAGAGTGATTTATGAACAGCTGTAGGCCCAGATGTGGATCTGTCGGCACTGGCAGCATGAAGGAAGGCAGATGCCCAAGTATCAAAGGGAGGAGCTGAAACATTCAGCACCAAGGCAGTTTCAACCTTTTCAGCGTGAACGGCACTTTAAAGACACGTCAAGTCCTTCCGGCCTGTCATGGTGGCCGTCTCCATGATCCTCCATCTGCCTACACAGACAGAACTCTACATAACACTTTGCATGTTCTGTTTCTGCCGTACCTGGTTCTGGAGGGCAGCCATCGTCTGTTGCCATGGTCGTTACTATCATCATGCTTCTAACGGGACCACGCTGCTAACAGGACCAGGCTGCTAGCAGAGCCACACTGCTGGCAATACCATGCTGCTGACAGGACAGTGCTGCTAACAGGACCCCACTGCAGGCAGAGCCACACTGCTGGCAATACCATGCTGCAGACGGGATTGCGCTGCTAACAGGACCGCGCAGCTGACAGAGCCAGGCTGCTGGCAGTACCATGCTGCAAACAAGACCA